CCCTGCAAGGATGAAAGAAAATAGAAGTGAAAACAAATAGTTTTTTTCTCCACAAATTGCTCTCTAGGTATCGGCTGTTCTTAACTTTGAGTTCTATCACAAAATGCAATGCTATGCACTGGCACAACTTGCTTCCCTCAGGGGGAGTGGTAGGTGATGAGAGGACACAAGGGTTAGGGGAGGATTAAAGACACATATGTTCTTATTAAGGCAGGGCTCGAAAAGAAACAGCGTTATAGAGGGAATGATGTATGTTGGATTCTGACGAAAAGAAAAGCAGGGCAAGCTCATAGTGAACATCTAATGTCACCCAGCCACAAATTATAAGACAGAGAGAGAGGAGAGAGAGAGGGAGGGAGAGAGGGAGGGAGGGAGGGGGGGAGGGAGGGAGAAAATATAACACTAACCAGTTTATACAAATCAACTTACATTTATTCCCTTATAGTCAGTTGGTTGTAACCTATATCCCAAGCAGACACAGTGTGCTTTCACACGCACACATTGGTAACTTCTGAAAACTAATTAACCAAGGAGAATATAAAACAGTCAGGCAGACAGGAAACCAGGGACTACCCGCCCTGCAGCCAGTTGTACTGTAATATCTTCTGCATGGTGCTGACAGCCTTCTCTTCCCGGCCTGCATTCCGACACAATGCCTTCAGGTCTGCCTAAGTAATGTAATTTACTGGAGTGTAATTCCCTGGGTACCCCGAGCAGCACTTGGTGACAGTATCATTTATACTCCACAGTGCCGTGCCTGACACTGACACATCGGCCTTCATCCCTCATTCACAGCAGAGCGTGCAATTCCACCTTCCGCAGTGCCCTTCTGTGGTGCCCGTGTACACATTCACTCCATCCAGCCCTAATTACAAACCTGGGCTGAAATGTTCTCGTTAGATTTATATTTCTCACTCGAAATGCCAATCTTATTTGAAGATTTCGATTTTCCTGGGGATCCATCCATTAGCAATAAACTCTAAAGCATTCCATGACTGAGTGCATTAAGCCAGCAAGGCGGACAGGCACTCACATCATTAGAGTAAATCTCCATTGCAAATGCTTTACATTATTCAATCAAAGGAATAACGAGGCTGGCCTGGCAGTACCTTCCAATTGCACATGAAGGATAGGCTAACACTGTAGGAAGAGGCACGCGGTATATATCAATGGGATGCATTTCTGAATCTCTGCCATTCCTTAGGAAGATGTGGGAGGGAATCTCAGCCAGAGCCCGATTTATCACCTTCTTTTCCTTATGATTTCTACAGAAACTCCAGCCTGAAGCAAAGGGCAGAAAGGCAGGCAAAAGCAATGAATGGGCAGCGAGCGCATGTGTACATGAAGGGGATAGAAGCTGCAAGGGCAATGCTGGGAGCCTGGTTAGCCACTTAGAATGACTTGCTCTCCTCTTGTGCGCAACAGAACAAATGCAGAAAGCAGGCTTGTCTGGGCGCACTGAAAGGACAGTTCTAATAAAAGACAGATCTTGCCGGCGGAGCTGACCTGAGAACCGTCCCCACTCAGACTGAGGGGGTCTAACATTAAAAACCCAGGAAATCTGATGATGGTGTCAATATGTAAATTACAAATCAGAAGTTGTATCTGTGATTGGGATGGCAGAACAGACTATGAAAAGAAAAATGGAGAGAAGTTTTTTAAAAAGCTAGCAAAATATATCCGTTGACAAAGCCAAGCCATCACTGTTTCATATCTGTACTGTGTTTTAATTCCTTGGCTTATTGGTCTCATTTATCACTACTAGCCAGATCCCAGTGAGGGAAGTCAAGATGTAGTCATGATTTCTTTTTTAATTTGATAAATGAAGGAACTGCATCCCAGGAAGGTCATGGAGGAGGTTGAAGAGTCTGATCTGAGCTCTTAGCATCTAATTCTAAAGGTTAACAAAAAAAGTTAAGGGATGCTAGCAACTGTGACCTTATTATGAAAAATACAACATGCTTTTTTTATTTTATAAACAAGGCAATTCAGATATTTAATATTATCAACTATGTTTTAGATTTTTTTCTATTTGCTTTTTAATGCAAAGTTTTGGTGGGCAGAAAAAGACTTCTAAAAGAGCAGGTGCACATTACATTAGACATAAAATAATTTGCAAAAATAATATAAAGTAAGAGAAGCAGTAATTGTTTTCTGCTGGCCAGCACCTGGGTTGGTCTTTAACCAGAATGGTAGCAGATGCAATGCTTTCTGGAGGGAATGGTACCACCGTAGAAACTAAAGGCTCCTGAACTTCTACCCATGCCCACCTGAAATATTTAAGACCTTACTTGATTACATTAGTGCTTTCTCTTCCATAATGTACATTAGCAGATACCGCAATTAACATGCACAGATGTTAGAACTGAAATACTCATGTTTAAATAAAAAACATGTGAGAAAGTAAAAATAATCGAATATCCTCAACCCAGCACTAATCTTAAAAGAAAAGAGAGGTTGCCCTAGCTGATTCTGCTCAGTGGATAGAGTGTCAGTCTGTGAACTGTAGGATCCTGGGTTCGATTCTGTTTCTCTCTCTCTGTCTCTGCCCCTCCCTTACACTCTCTAAAAATCAATGGAAAAAATATACTTGGGTGAGGGTTAACACAGAAAAAAAAAAAAAAAAGAGATGTTTACATGGTATAATTTAATGACAAAATTAAACAATGACCCTCCAGGTAGATAGCATTAATAATGTATGAAAAACCCAGCTACTCTGTAAATGACCTTTAACCTTCTGATCCAGAAACAATGAACGAGAGGGTGATCTTCTGTCCACTTAATTCCAACATCTGCACCCTAGGCATAGAGGGGAATGGAAACCCCATGGGCCTAAAAATCCCCCAACATGTTCTTGTGATACAGCGGTAGAAATAAGAATAAAACCACCATCATTTTTTCCCAGCGCTGGCTTTGTGCTTCATATGTGTTATTTGATCCTCACAAGCATCCTATGAGGTAGGGACTATCCCTTTTCCCATTTTCAAATGAGGACATCTAGGACTAGAAGAGGTTAAGTAAAATAGATCAAGGCCAACAGGTAGCTAAGCTAAGATTTGATCCTGAGTCCTTCCTCCCAAAGCTCTTGTCTCACCATGCCTCTCTGTCTGCCCCAGACGGAGACACCAAAGAGAAATGGGATCTGCAGTCTTCAATTTCCAGAGGCTTCTGGAATGACTGTCCTCTGGACTCATCTTATTTCACAAAATTACCTTAAACTGAAGGGCTCAGTGCACTTGCAGACATCCTCCTTCTTTGGAAATGCCAGAGCCATTCAGCCAGTGGCGTGGGGACAGCACCCTCACTAGGATCGCGAAGGTAGAAATTTCCCTGTGAATGCGGACACCACCTCTCTCTGGTGTTTCTTCTAGCCACAAACTGACATGCTTTTACTGTGGTTGCAGTAGACTCAGCAATCAGATGGAGGGGAGTTTTTTACTTGGTTAACTGCCCCTCTGCATCTGTGTCCATAGAGGGTCCTCCACGGCAGACCTGCGTGCATCCTTGACCCTTTCCCCCCCGCCCCCCCGACCCTTCCCCACCACCCCATTCCTACATAAACAAAAGAGTTTTCCAATCTCTCGGCAACATCACCACAAAATCCTTCCCTTGCTGTTCTGACTCTACAAGAGGCGACTTTCTAACAATGAGCCCAGAAGATGGAGGTTGTAAAACAGCATTTCAAACAAGGCAATTGCTTCTTACAAAAAAGATTCAAGGATTCTATCACCGATTTCCCCCCAAACTTCCACAGACACAATTTGTTTATGTATGAGTTGTGTCTTTCTTCCTTCAGAAGGGGAAAATGCTGATAAACTATCACCTGTAGACAAACAGCGCAAACCCCTGGATGCCTTTTGCTACTTAGACAGACACATTTATTTCCCAATGCACCACTTATCAGACAGATGCAAAGATGTGGGCAAGCCAGTCATCAGAATTAACAGAGTGATTGTGCTTGCACTACATATTCTGATTTGTATGAATCTTATTTTTAGCCATGCACAAAGGGCAATAAATGGAAAATCTTATTCTAACCGCTACTTTTTCTGGGCCACCCACACTGCTCCACCTACCGCACAAGTTCACAAATGTAAAAAAAACCCAAGCCAGGGTTTGAACTAACAAGGGATGCAAAGTGGCTAACATGTGTGACACTTTTTCCAGTCAGTGTTTGTACTTTCATTCTTTTTCTGCATCAGGACTTTCAGGGAAAACAACATTGACTTATCTTCGGGCATTTTCAAACACTCCGTGCTGGCGTGTCACTCAGCGCGCAGGCACGGGTGATCCGCCCGGCACGGGCACCACCCTGCCACAAGCCACATGCCAGCCAACTTTCAGGGAGACGTGCACCCCAGCACGTGTCTGTCAGTTCTGGGAGACAATACCTACAACATTTTTGTTTGGAAACAAGGACAGTGTTTGAGAAGTTCTTCAAATGCACAAATGTGATTATCAGAAGCAAACATTTCTGAAACAGAATCGGGTGATTTTGTCAACAGGAGGTCAGTATCCCTGTCTCAAACCTGCTCTTAGTTCACACTGCAGCTCACTAGGGCACAGCGTCCCGTGCCTTCGTATCCCTCGCACCTGTGCACTTCTCTCTGCCCCTCCCAGTCCCACCCACCTCCGGCCGCTCATCCGGCATCACCCACATGGCCATCGCTGCCAAGAAAGAAGCTGATATTGACAGACAAGCACTTTGACCGCAAATAAGAAAACAAAACAAAACAAAACAAAACAAAACCCGACGAACAAGAAGTTTTCTAGGGCCATAGAGAGGAAGAGATGAGGGTATTTTCCATCATTATCTCTTTAGACTTTCAATGAAAAGTTAAGTTATTAAGGTTTCAGGGTACCAATTTAAACGCTTGCTCCTCTGAGCCCTCTGCAAAGCACCACAGAACACATTTGCAGGCAGCGATGAATATGTCCAAGTCCGTTCGACACAACAATGAAGGCGCAAAAGGAGTCAACTCTGAGAAAGGCATCTTTACCTGTGTGCTTGCTCATTATCCAGAAACTAGAGGAAGTGTTCTGTCATCCTCCGGTAGTCAACACACCCTGCAGAGCTGACTCCTTCTTCCGATAATGCGGGTTCTAGAGCAGCGCTGATCAGACGCAGCAGAAACCTGTTCGGGTTCTAGTCCACTGTCGTCAGGACTTCTGACGAGTGTTGTAAAGACACGGGTAATTAAGTAGTGCGAAGAAGTGGGTCATACACCACTGAGATACAACCACACCGCCCCCAAACTAGACTCTGAATGACTGTGCTGTGACAAGGTGGGAGGGGTTTGAACACAGCGAAAGCAAAACTTTTATGTGGTGAGGAGCATTTTAGTTTTCACTGGTTTAGGTTAGAGAAAGTTAATTTCAATGTCAACTACAAATCAACTGGCTTTTAGCACGTTCTTGAAATTTTATGACCGACAACGGGCCGTTAATGTGATGGGGGAATTCAGCTACAGGGTCAGAAACAGTCCAAGGGGGACAGTCTCAGACTTCAGTGACGTGCCTACTGCCAAAAGGGAGAACACTGTGACTCAGTGAAACAAGAAGGTCAAATCGAAACCAAAGACAAAGAACCAAAGTCTCATTATCCACATTCGCATCTCCCTCTATACAGGATCAAAGTACTGTACACCACTTCCCTACACCT